CTTTCCATGGCAGTAGAGCTGCAGAGTGTAGCTGCCATCTTCCCATCAGAAGAAGTGGGAGAACCAATGCGATGGACCCTGAACTTGTGGCGCATTCTGATACAGCTTCAGTTGTTTTATGGTTTCATGTGCAGCTGGTGTTAGTTCATCCATATGCATTTGGCTCTTCTGTTCTGTGTACGACGCACAACAACAATATTCTGTGTGCACTGTGCCAGTTTGTAGAATCAATGTTGTGTTATCAACATCTAGTAGAAGTTCATTTTTCAGTGCTTCCTCAAAATCCCCAATCAACATTTTTGTTGTAGGAACACATGCCATGTCTATTTGGTGTTGAGAAGTCTTCAAGATAGTCTTGGGCATTCTGGGTTTGGGATTCTTTAGACAATCAGAAAGAAAGAGAGGCCTGTTAGCACAGTGAGGGGAGACAAAACTCCATATTTTCATCTCTAAGGCCGTCGCTGCTTCTCACCCAGGTCGTCCTGACAAGCCCTCTCTGACTGCCTGGCCGAGCCAAATCGTTCCTCAAGGACATTATGTGACTCTTCGGTGTCACCCTCATCTTGGGTTTGCCTTGTTCAGATTGTACAAGGAAGAGGGGTCTCTTGTCTCTGAGCTCCCGAAGGCATTGCTCAGGAATGATTATGTCATGGGCCCTGTGACTCCAGCCCACGCTGGGACTTATAGGTGTTGTGGTTCGTCTCATCCCTCTTCTACATGGTCAGCACTCAGTAACCCCCTGAAGGTCATCGTCACAGGTGAGAGCTCCCATCCATGGTGGCTTTTCAGGGTCCTGATTCCACTAATCCCAGACTTTTCCAGTGGGAGTGTCCATCAGGGTCCAATGAGAACAATAGAAATCACTCTAGGTATTTCAGGTAAACAGGGATTTAATGCAAGGAATTAAATATGGTGGCACACACAGAAGAATGTCTTCCCAGTGACAGCCATGCCCTAATCCCTAGAGCCTATGACTGTGTGAACATGGCAATGGAGCAATGAGGGTGGAGATGGAACTAAGGCTGCTAGTTAGTTGACCTTGAGATGGGGGGATTATCCTGAATTATTCTAATGGGTCAGTATTATAAGTAATTGAAAAAGGAGGACAGGAAGGTGAGTGTCAGCATAATGCACAAAGAGAAAGGTTTGAACTTACAGCCAAGAACACTATAGCTCATG